CGCACTTCTACCCATTTCACCGGGCCCGTTCGGATCAACCACCACGTCTAAGGTTATCTCGGTGCTCCGATGGAGGTCAGTCCAAGGTCACTAGATCGCTGATACAACCAACTCCTGCTTATATTNATCTGGTTCCCAGTCTCCTCTGCGGGTCGGTCGACATTCACTAACCGGCAGTACGTCAGTCTATGATCCCCACGAGGTCACAGTAACCAGCAATGCGGGATATCCCCGGAGTACACCCGGTAGCCGCAGCAGTGTATCACCCAGCCCGTTTCGGACAGTAGGAACTCCCACTGCGCGGTCCGCGACTCGCTCCCATTCACCACCTATCTGTTTAACCTTAAGCTGTTCACGATCCGCGACGGAGGCTGAAAACCCAGTTAAAAACAGGCGGCCTGTTCGGACCAGGTCACGTGCTATGGACAGTCCGTACGCAGCGCCTTACTGCCAACAGCTGATCACCTTACTTGGTCGACAGTTTCTAAGTATGGTTCGGTAAGTAAACCATTACATGATGATCGTTTCTATGATTTCACAATTTGTCACCCCCACTTGTTTTTCAACGGAGAATAGCATCTTGGAATTAGCGTGCAACCAAAGTCCGGTAAGCGAACTAAGCTGCTTTTCCGTAATTAATCAACGTGACTTTTGCAATTATATAGGGGTTACTCATAATGTTCGACCCTGTTTTGATCGCATGGTGTGCTCCTTGCACGTAGTTTACTGTGGCCAAATTTGGGTCAACCATTACAAGTAACCGCTACATATTTGCAATCGAGAAACAGCATGTTTCGCCTACCAGACTTTGTTTTCAATGTAGCAATAGGTGATGTGAATTTAATTCTGGTTTGGGTTAAAATACTTGTCACAGAACTTCACACTCATTGACCGATCGCTGCTTGTTGCCTAGATTCAACCAGCAGCTTGCTGGAATAATTCGAACGCATTGAGTGAACTCTTAACCCTATGACCGCCTTGTCTCAGCGAGAAGACAGACGATCACTCTGGATTTCATACATTTCTTTTCGGCGGCTCTTTCAATCGTACTAGCGGGATTGCCATGCAAAGAAAAACATAACATCATGTATACATACATACACGCCTTTCGCCTCTCAGAAGACATCTTGGTTATCTTCAAATATTGTATTGTCTTCTTTTTGATTTCACTCACCACTTTCCGGCAGACAACATTTCATAGGTTCGTAAATGACACTTTCTATCTGCTAGGATTTCGTCTTCGCTACCCATCTCCCATGATTAATCTATTCCATAGACGGGTACCATTAGAGGGGTATGTTCCTTATCGATCCTCGAACCTAGTATTCCCATCAACATTTGCATACCATATTTATTATTGTGTGCTGATACTCCGCCGATGGTTTACACTGCACCCTCGGATGTTGATCTAATTATTATTTTTATTTCATTGGTTGACTTATTTGTAGTTCTCGTGCACTTCAGTTGGGACAAGATCCAGGCCTCCATTGCTTTGAACCCACACATGGATGTCGCCCAGGCCTCTGTACAACCTACATTACTATCTGAGCTACGATGTCATATCTGTTAGGGGCATAGATTGTACAGGAGAGTCCATACATGAGTTCATTATCTTTTCACAAATGGACTGCATGAAAGGTTTGATTATGGTTGTGGCGAACTCCTCTAAAGTGGACTATTTCAGAGGATCAGTGAAAGAGTTGGTTATTAATAGAGCATTGGCATCGTTCCCCAATGATTCTTCTCTGAATGTGATTTTGAAGTTTGATTTTTCACGAATGAATAGAATCTGCCTTGTGATCTGCATCTACGGCGTTTTTTCCATGTGATGCTGTCAGACACGTCGCCTGATATCGACCTTCTCTCCGCCAACTCGGCCAGTTTTACTCGTTTCGTTATGGATCACTTTCGTTTGTTTACTCCGAAACACACATGTATGCATGCATTACCAAGTGTACATCACACAAACTGATCACCTCATTTGTATTGGTTGACCTAAAGTCCCTCTGTCTTGTGCTGCGTCAGCTTTCATTAAATCTACGACCTCTGAACTTCACGTGTTTCGAATATGCTAAACGGAACTGTTTCCAATAAATTCACATCTTTCTTTTCTTGCCCTCCTGGTTCACTAAGGGTTGGCGGCGTTCTAGACTGTAACACGCATCTACGTTCAGACTAAACTGCTATCATGTTTCTAACCCTGATCACTCCACTTCTTTGCAGTTAATCCCTATTCTTTTTTCCCATCCATGTTCCCCTCACGCCTACCCCACCCGTACCCGTCACCGCCTCATTTTAGGGATTACAAATCTTTGCTGTCCCATTTTATCATCCAATTGATTATCGCCCTCTTCCTGGGTACCATCTATTATGATCTGGACCAAAGCCTCGAATCGGGAATACAAAACCGAACCGGTCTGTTCTTTTTCACCTGCGTTCAATTGTTGTTCATCAACAGTTCTATGATAGACTCGTTCTTGCGAGATCGAGTGATTTTCAAGCAAGTTCACAGTTCGTCTCTATTCGTTCTCACCTGTTTGTTGTACGCGTTATCCGTTTTCATTTATCACCACGATTGATTGGGTGTAACTATCTAGACTTAAGGCTTAGGGTGCCGGTTTCCACCACTGAACAGCAGATACTCGTGATTATGGGGTTCGCTCCGTCTTCTGTTCATCACATTTATATGTGTAATACANTAATACAAAAAAAACAATACATTTGTAATTGATGTGCCGCTTTTGTGCTTCGTCTAAACTGTGATAACGTAGTCTGCACTCGATAGAAATCTCTGTAATCATCGAAAAAGAGCAGTGGACAGCTGTTTGGAACTTGTCAGCAGTGTCTTATGTTTCCTTGTCTGGACTCAGGTTGGAAGTCGAAACTCTTACCTCTATGCTCTTTATCGGTCATCATAAAGGTTTCTGTCGTATTTAAAAACATTCGTTGAAAGTGTATTTTTTGAAAACCACGCTTATACAGAACAAAGCCACCGCAGTTAACATTATGCCCAGCCATTCGATTTGGTACTAACTTCCTCGTAGCTCATTCTTCCGACCAATAGGGGAAGCTTTCCACCCGTTCCCATTTCATAATCAAGAACCGCTGAGCGCAAAGTCGAGAGAACATATTTCAAGTGCTCTAAGGGACCATAGTAAAAAGCCACCGATATCGATTTCTGGAGGATGCTTGCAACATGGCGTTTCGAGGTACTTCCCCGTTCTATTTCGCTTATTACGATAGACGTTGGCTGAGTTGAGCTTCTTATGTTTGACATTGTTTAACGTTCATCGAGAGCGCTCTCAAAACTAAAGAAAACCCAAATTTATGTTGAAACTTTAGGGAAAAGGGATGAGTGATTGTATGACTGGATGTAGCGTATTAGTGTTCAGAACGAAATAGGGTCCTAGAGAGATCGAGTCCTTGAACTGATATTTGTATTGCCAGATAACAAAGCACGAAAAAAACGAGTTAATTATGGTCCCCGAAATGCTACCAAGGTCACTCATAATTTTGTGTATATCTCGTAACTGCTTCATTTTCCTCACTCTTGAAAAAAGGACAGTAAACACCATCTAGAAATCGGTTATCCGGATTATTTTGATTTGCACTGTGCCGAAGTCGCTGTATGGGAGGAATTTGGTGGGTCGGAAAATCAGAAAACTTTCAGGGCTAACTCGGGAGTGGAGTGAAAGAGTGATTTTCCGCGGTAAATAAAGTTAGACTGATCCAGATAGACTGGCTTGAAATTAGCACGAATTCAGGAAATGGTCTAAGATTGTTGTAGGTTCAACATTTCGCGGTGGATCAGCAATGGGGTTGTTTTCTTTTCTGTATATATATCAGTTCTGAGCTGTAACTTTTGAACTACTAAAAATTTTATCGCGACACTCAGGGGAGCCCAAATTCAAACGGTGTTACGAGAGAACTGAGAACATTGCAGTTGGAGATAAAGTTTGGAATAAATACTCTTCACCCATAGCTATCGGTATAAATCTATGTGATATTGGAAACGGAAATATATTTCCGAAATGAGAGTCATGTTGCACGAGCTCGAGCAACACCTGTATATATCAGCAGTCAGGCCTACAATTGTGTTGTGGAAGAAAAGGTTCGAACGACTGCTTATTTGGTTACTCATTTCATCTTGAAATCGGATATGGGGTTCACAATGGTCACAGCTTCTTGTTCGGTCATTCGATCATCGAGACCACTTAGGAGGCATGATTGCGAATCACTGAAAACGTGGCTGCTCACCACTGTGTTCGATTTGCAACGCGAGGTAAAAAATTAAATAGCGCATAAAACTCCCAAATGGTCACCCGTTTTTTTTTCTCCTCGTACTTCCCGTGTAGCTCCCTGTATCTAAGGATTTGAAGGCCTATACAAAAAGACGGANNNNAAGTTAAATGACCGCATTTCAGGAAAGACAATGTCCGTTATTTGTGATCAGTGACGGCTTGTGGATCAGAGACTCCCCAAGTCCCGCCTCTGATTTCGTGCAACAAAAACTTCAGTTCGTCCATTATGCGGAAAGCCTTGTCTGTGCTATCCGGACCTTGCCATGCTTCCCCCAAAACATTGGGTGTAAATTACCACTGTTTAATTGTAGTCAGTCTAGCAGTTGAATGTTTGCATCTGACAGCCGAACTTTTTTGAGATATGCGATGTGGATGGCTACTTGTTCGATGATCAAAACGGTCATTTGTTTGTTTGGTAGTTGTGCAAGTGCTTCCATCATGGTAACAGAGAGAACGATCGAATATACTCTGTAAGCAGCTCACCAATAGGACGTAAATCTGAGTTCTCAATGAGGTATATATCGGTAAAACATGATCTATTGATATCAGTAGCACATGACTCGATTTGATTGTTCGGAGAAGAATAAGAAACACATGTACTGCATCCCGACATGTACGGACGCATTTATCGCTTGTTCTTGATTGAGGGCGGTCCCAACATACTCCACACCCCTACCACTCTTGCTTCAACCGCAGACTAGAAAATCGTAGTGCTGATGAGCAATCATTGGAACATCAGAACGAGGCTCCGATGAGGTCAGCGTGCTATACAGACATTTGCATTTTACCCAGGAATTTGAAAACAGTTGCTGTCAGCACGTTCATGTTCTTCGTTTTGCAATCGCAAAATTTATCGGATAATCGAATTCCACAGCTGACAGATAGCAATAGAGCCATTTTGTGGGAGTATAATAGCAATAATCAATGAAAAACATTCATTTACTGTTGTTTTCCACTCCTCTTGTCGCATCAGTCACGTGATCAGGTGCCTTTTCGAACTCATCTGTGGGCACCATGTCATGTGGTTGCATACTGAATTGGTTGAATGAAGTCATTCGTGCGGTGATTTTTATTCTCTGCTGAATTGAATAATGTCATAGAGATTACCTGAAGCTTTTCAATCCCTATACGAAACCACCTACTGGTTGGTATTCCCAACCGGTTGGAAGTCGACTGCTTATTCACCACCCCCTCCCACCAGTGTGTTTGAAAACAGTCCGAGTAAAATACTTCCACTCATGTGTAGTGCTTTACCTCACCCGTAAGATCACGCATAGCTGCGGTATTTTAATCAATTTCATTATCCCCGAACCCCGTGTTTTTTTTTTCTCTCAGACATGAAACCTCCGCCGGATTCTATCGGGTCTCGGCCTATTTCTTTGCGAAAATCATTTCCGAGGTGTTACCGGTCAAAGCACTACCGGCCCTGTTGTTTCTCCCGATCACCTATTTCATGGCTGGATTGCGAGCCAGTTTGCGTGCATTTCTGTTCTGGGAACTGACACTGACTCTGTTGACAATCACTGCCTCGGGTATCGCGTTCTCCGTGAGCGCGATGGTCACCGATTTCCGTGTCGGCTCGATGCTCCTGNTGCTCCTGTCCATGTTTTTTGTCCTCATGATGGTAAGTCTCATGGTGCTACTCGACACTTCGTTTTCTCTTTCTCAACCCTTATTGCTATCTAAATCAGACTGCTGATCTTCGATTGCTTAAATCAGGTGATCATTTTCTGCCAAAAAAAACTTGGCTCAGATTCATTCCTCATGGTATCGTTTATCTGCCAAGCATCTCTCCTTCCCTTGTCCGTCAAAATTTTCTTTTATTAGCCATAAAGAAGTTTACGGGAAATACGATAAACCCCACAGTCGAGGACAAACTTTCACGGGGCTGGTCTGGGGGAAAATTCAAGTAAAAACCTATTTGTTCCCCTACTTTGAAGAGTGAATTGTTTTTGAAAATGCAGCAAGACGAAGTACGCTTTATAATTGAACAGTCTTGGAAACACCAAAACTGGAATATAAAAATGCCACATCTGGTGACAGAAATAGAGTTACTGGTTGACCGTCTAATTGCCGGAAATACGGTTCGTGTCGTATTAAAAAACGGATAATATGAGAAATTATAGAGGCCCTCTGCAGTTATGCATGCGTGAACGTGTTTACTAGGAGCTAATTAAAGAAGTGGACATGCGTCTAAATAACATGGACTTACAATAGTCACAGGTCAGACAGTGTCTTATGAGCCAGCTTACCATCATCTTTCTTGTGTTGGAAGACAATGTGATGTACGGTGGATAAACCACAGGACCCGGATAAATACCTGAGCGATCGGGACGTCACACAGATATCTGCTCTGTAACAGAGCAGGATAGACTACTGAGACGGTGTGTACAAACTGTCTAATCAGGTGTACTGGAATAAGAGCTTCAGACTAACAAAGAGCAATATCAGTCTTCTGATTTTCCAAAACGCTCAGCCCAAATGCAGGAACATCTCTTTTGTGTTTATCTAACGTCTTTCGATTAAGGGGCGTGTGGGTAATG